GCCGAACCGGGATCATATATGGACCCTCTGGGTAATATCTCGAGCAGCAGATTCGTAGAGGGCGTTAATGGTTTCTTTAGGGTTTAGGGTAGGGTTTAGGGTGTAGGGTCTTGCAGCTATAGTTAAAATAGGAATCCATGATTTTTTTGGTCAAAACCCTAAACCCCAAACCAAAAACCGTTCAAATGCGTACAAAGCTCTAGCGGTTCCTGCCTTAGGTTTCGGGGTTTGGGTTCGCGGGATTAGAAGCCAAATCCGAAACCTTAAACCCTAAACCCTAATGCCACGCTGTCGTGTCCAGAGTGTACTCTCCTTCTGGGGCGAGTCTCTGCTGCGGGGACTAGTGCACAAAAAAGAAACCTAACCCCTGAACCCCAAACCTCAAATCCTAGGCCGTAGCCTGAACTCCCCCCAAAACGCTAAGCCCGTGCGGCAGCAACACCGTGACGAATCAAGCACGTACATGGGTAGCTCTCTACATTAAGGGTGCCTCTTAGGGTCCTGTTTATAAGGGTGCCGTACTATGTATGGGATCCGCCTTATTTTTGGGGTTCCTAATATACCAGGACCCTCCAAGTACCCTTAAATAGGGGTATATGGTCCCAAATTAAGGGTCTAATGGAGGGTCTAGGAATATAGATCCTAATGTTTGAATCTGGTGTTCTACGACGAGTGTTTCTTACTCGGCTTCCTAGATTAACTTGTTTTTCCTGCAGGACCTTGACCAGAACATTGGTTAGCCATGGCACGCTGAAACCGTTTCTTTAGAATGCCGTCCAGGCAAAAGCGTTGGCAGCAGAGTTCCTTGCGAAGGTCCTTGCATCATGTATTTGTTGGCCTTCAGGTGTGGCGTGGGTATTGGGCCTGACTCCAGACCAAGGAACTGAACTTTTGGCTGATCCCCTTGAGCTGTGCCACTTCTGGCGAAAAATGTACGGTAAAAGTACTCTACATGTCTACCTTCCGTCTGGAGTTGTTATCCCAGCCCTCTGTTTGAAGCTCTTTTTGGCACACGTTTTGTCTAGGGTGTTTGTTTCGTGTGTTCCGCATCTCCTCGTTGCCGTTGACAGGTCGAGCACGGATTGCTCTTAGTCTTATGACGGATGTGAGTATGGGCACTGTTAGTTCTTCCTGGTTGCCAAGATCTGCTATGTACTGTGACATTGCTTTCAGTACTCCTTGCACTAGCAGTCGCCGTTGTCGTCGTCATCGTCGTCGTCGCTGTCGCATGCTCTATCGCCGGGTCCCGAACTTGTAATCTCCTAAGCCTAAGCCTAGAGTTGTGCTTATGCGGCAGTTTTAATCCAGACCATCACAACTGATTTCAGCTTATCTACATTGAAGTATAGGAATGCGCAAAACCACCCCAAACCCGAAACCCTAAACACCCCTGAACCGTAACCCCTAAACCCCAAGCCCGAAACCCAAACCCCTAAACCCGAAGCCCAAACCCCTAAACCCGAAACCCAAACCCCTAAACCCGAAACCCTAACCCCTAAACCCAAACCCCTGAACCCTAAACCTCCTAAACCCTACATAAACCCGAAACCGCCAGGCGCCGATGGCGTAGACCCGCAGCCCAAGCCTCAGTGGAGAGCCCATGGCCTCCGCTGCTGAAAGTCCTAATATATAGGAACCTTATGGGTGCCTTTAAGGGTTTAGGGTTAGGGGGAGGGTATTATAAAGGTTCCTTTGAGGGGTTCAATAAGGGTACTATAAGACTATAAGGGTTGAGGAGTTATGGGATGCATTATGAGGTTCTTTATTTGGATCCTAACATTTAAATTTGGGGGTTGTAGGACCAGGGTGCCGTACCTATGTAGCTTTGATGGTTAAGAGCTTCCATGTAAAGAAAATGGGTACCGTGAGAAAGAGCTTGTCTGTGAACTTCCAGGAGAACCATCGTGCGATGGGAGCCCAATTTATGTTCCAACATTAGTCTTTAGGGTTCCGTTTCATATTAACTTTTTGGAGTAGACAGTCACGAAAGCTCGATCTGTGAAGCTTGCGGGAGTTGTCGTTTACTAATTCACTGTAGTAGGCTTCACCAGGGATTGGCAGCGCGGTGCCGAGCCCACCCTTTCCCTGCTACGCTTCCTTCCCGTGGCTTTCGTGCCTCCTAACCCCAAGCCCTAAACCCCTGAACCCTAACAAGCCTAAATCCCTAAACCAGAAACCCTCGAAAGCCTTATGCACCTCAAAAAAAAGCCTTAAACCCCAAACCCTAAGTCAAAACAAACCCTAACGCCTCTTCTCAGATTAAGGTTGAAGTAATATTGGGGCCTTAATTGTTAATTAGGATAGGGTTTTTGGGGGCTCCTTATTATAATTGTAGTGTTTTAGGCCCCAAGCCACTACTGTGCATTGGCCCAATTTTGGGGTCCGCAGAGCGACTCTGAAACCGGAACTCGAACACGGGAAGCAAATCTGGTCACAAG